TTTTTCGTAGAATTCGGGATCAACTAAACCGATAAAATAGGGGAATTGGACACGTGATACAAATTAGTCTGTCGGAGAAACTATTAAATTCTACCAAGACGACGCAAAAAATCAAAAAAAACCAAACCTCTTGAAAAATCCGGTTTGTGAGCCTGAATATGTTCCCGTAATTAAGAGTTCAAGACCTGTTGATGGTGAGAAGTATGAAGTCCCTATTTATGAACATGACAAATTACTTCCATCTTTCATTCGTAATCACACGACCTCACGATATGCGCTTGCGCTGGCTTTGGCAAGAAATCATTTACGTCAAAAAGAAGTAAGCTCTGGAACTAAAGGCTATAATGGAGTAATTGTTTTGGAACGTGAAAAATAACATATCAAAGACATTACTCAATCAATGTCAATCTGAAACATGTATGCAATATGCCTATTTTTTATTACATAAATAGAAACTTTTTATGTTAAGAATCAAAGTACTGTATCTAAAGAAGATAAAACAGACTACTTTCTAAACTTCGCTGTGTATACAATAAAGCAAAATATACAGTTTAAAATACATGTTGTTTTACTAAAAAAAAAAAAGTCTACTGTTCTGACACGGAGAAATAACTACAAAATGGAAATTAAAATTCGAAACTTATGTCGAAAATACTTTTGGAAAATTCATATGGCTTAAAATACTAAAAGTCTGAAAATCATAGAAGTAAATCACAAAGATTCGGTATCTTTGTAACGTGTTAAATATGCATGTCGCATTGCCATTACTTAAATATCGTTATTTTATGCCCCAGGTATCGGTTTTGCTTCAGGAAACTAAATCCGAAACTGACCACAAAAACCTATAACGCACAAATAAGTGATTTTTTATATCAAATCATTTCAATCAACAGGTATCTATGCAACTTTTTAGTATCAAATAATTTCGCGTATACAGTACATGTAATACAGCATGGCAACTGACTTATATGTTCCAAGTAACTAATTTGAATGCCTTAGTTAAAATTTCGAGTTCAAATTTTACTGATTTTATATTGCTTACAAATCATCATTTTACCAATATAAAAAATATATTTTTAATCCCACATTGATATGATTTATGGGAATCGACATTTCCATACCCTTGTTAACAAGGATCGTAAATGACCTGGTCATTTGGACAAAATTTATGAGTGAAATAGTGATGGCGCAGAAGTTTGGCGGTCCCGTGACTAATTAAAAAACAATGTTTGCATTAATACAAAGTAGAAAGAATATATCTAAATTTCTGTACTGAATTTTCCTTGCGAATTTATGAGGGCATTTGTATGTTACACACTAATCTTACAGTCGGATTGGATAAAAATCACGGGACCGACAAATTTTTGCGCCATCACTATTTCACTCAATTGAAAATAACTCGAGCCATCTAGTGATTACTAGTGATGTAATCCAAACCTTTTTGGTTTTTGATCGAATTTGGAACTACCGAAACAAAAAAAATATTTATAATGAACTAGCCAGTATATATATACTCAGGTTGGTTGACGGCAAGTGCCGGGTAATTTTTTAAAGTATTTTTAGGAACTTGACGTCTCACTAATAGAAAATTAATGTATTAATGTTCATTATACAAAAGAATTTAAAAGATCAAAATATTATTTTGTTTTGAAGACTAGTTCTAGATATTAATAGTGGTTCTTACCGATCTTATCAGAATCATTGCTCTACAATAGAGTATTATTAATCTGATAACACTTTTTTGTAAAGAAATAAAAAAGAAAAAAAAGATGTAAGGGTAAAACAAAAATAGAGAAAGTAAAAAAGCAACATATAAGAAAATGATTAAAATATAAAGAAATTAAAAAATCTATTTTAAAATCTAAGAAAACTTGATTACAGATATAAAAACTTGCTAATTAAGTAAAAAACTATCTATATGGTTATAAAATCTATATATAGAGCTATTTGATAAAAAAAAACTATAAACTCAAATACATTTTAATCTGTGCTAAAAGCTAAAAATTATATATATATAATTTCAGAGTACTGTATATTTTTAATATCTCACTTTAACTTGCAACTCTTATTTAAATTTATCTCGAATCCTAAAATACTATTTTAAAACTTCGATATATAATTATTGATTCTATTTGTAACAAACTACTTTTTTCAAAATCCTCTTATAATTTTTCATTTTATATCTTGCTTTTACACTATATAAGATTAAACAAAGGGTCTTTTCTATGGTCAACCAGTAGCTACTTCTTCAGATCTGTCACATAAAACCATTATTTTTGTATAGTTAATACCAATCTAAACATAGGATTTTTATGTACTTTGATTTAGCTAAAACAAAACTTCTTCTTCATATATAATTGTTGTATTCCTTATTCATTATATTGTAACTTGAGATTTTTCAAAAATAGAAGTAGTAAACAATGCTAATTTTTTGAAAAAAAATAACTAAATCCTTTATTTTTTATCAAAAATTATGAAAAAAGAGAGTAGTAAAAAATATTGTAGTTTTGTAAGTTTTCCAACAAAAGAATATTATTTTAAGAGTTCTTTATAACCTTTTGTTTTCAAAATAACTTGAGTCTTCTTTCTACTTATTGTTTTTAGAGACTTCTTCAGTTTGAATACTGAACACAAAAGAGAGTTTATCTGAAACAAGAAGAAAAAAGTTTAGGCTGAAATATAGTATAGCTTACTCCTTTTTACTAGCATTATACCAATTTTTGGCCAGAATTATCACAGGGAGACCTGCGCGTATATATATATAATACTATTATATACCTTTTTTATACAATTTTTAGGGTATATACCTCATTTTTAGGGTATATACCCTATTTTTTAGGGTATATACACATTTTTAGAGTATATACCCTATTTTTAGGATATATTTTATGTCACGTAACCTCTATTTTTAGAGTCCAGGATATTTTTTTGTATAATCTAGGCCAGACGAAATCATATAGGGTATGCACCCTTTTTTTTGGAGTATATACCCCAATTTTTAGAGTGCATACCCTAAATTTTAGGGTAGGGGTAAGCTATAATGCATTTTAGCCAAAAGCTTAGCTTCTTTATAAATTGTTCAAAATGTTCGCTCCTCGGTATATTATATTTAAAGACTTCATCAATAATAGTTTGTATTAAGAAAACTATAAGTTATTTGTTCACTTTTGGTCTTGAGTTTTTAACTTGCTTTTGGGTACTAGTTGGTACAAATAATCATTGAAGAGAATTGTTTAACTATATTTTTTAATTTTTTATATTTTGATATTATATTATTATTTTTTTTTTCTACTTTGGCAGATCATGCCAGTGACCTTTATTTAATTAAGCGTATATCAAGGTAGGAATACAAAACATTAAGGGTAGGGTATTTGTTTACTATTTGTTTGCACATGGCATGAAAATAAACTAATCAAAATTTAATGATCTGCAAAATTAACCAATTATAATTGTATATTTGGTTGTACA